AATTTTTTATGCTTTGCATCAAATCATCAATCTGTTTCTTAAATACATCGTAATGTTGGAATTTTAAGGATCAATATAATATAATTTAGGATACCAAAATTTAATAAAATAAATACATTTCGTACTTAGATCTCATTAATCAATATATTACTTAAGAATTTTTAAAAATCTTTTAAAATCATTATAATTAGGAATTTTATAACAAAATCTACAAAATAAATATAGTTAGTATTGAGATTTAGGTCTTGCTTTCCCTAATCAACTTCTATATAATGATAACCAATGTGTCATTCCACTCCCTAATTTTACTATTTATAGAGGTAAGGTTTTCTGAATAGAAGAAGGGACCTAATCTATTATAGTAATCTTTTAGCCAACCCATCAAGTAGACTACCTTTGCTTTTTAGGTCTTACATCTATTCATATTACACCATATAAAACTGAAATAAAACCTAGATCCACTTAGATTACATTACTTTATTGGGTTTTACCGATTTTTCAATTTGATCCAATTTTCGAAAACCAAATACAATTAGTGGTAGTTCAAATAAAAATTTCCAACATTCTCTCATGTGGGCAACGCCAATTGGTTTTAAAATTTTAAAAATATATTTTTTTAAAAATATTGACTTTTGTGTCAAACAAAACTTTAGTGGCCACAAATATAAATCAAAATTTCAGTACAGAATTTTGTTCAATAAAAATACCAATATCGAACTGTACGGTCATTATGTCTCTAATAACACAAGACCCTCACAATCACAAGTATCAAATATCTCCACTAACATTAATTTCAATAGGTGTGATAAAGTGGAGTGTGATTTGACACAATGTGATCCATACAATATCTAACATGTCAAAACCACAATAGTTCTCTTTATGGTTTCAAAGAAACTCTTTTATCATGATATAATTTCTTTCACACTTTTTTAAGGAAGCCTTTAAACTTTATTATGATTTCATAGAAACCAAGGAGATAATCTCTCTTATTTTTCTAAAAAACTCTTTACACTTCAAAAGAAGTCTATACACTTAAGAAGAAACCTTTATACTTCAAGATCCCAAGATCAATATTTGTATGAGCTCATAAAAATCATCAGTACAATGCACATGCATTATTATAAAATAATAACTGATACAATAAGTAAAATAAAATTACTATTAACAAAGAAATCAACTTCTCCCACTGATCAAGAATATCAAAACAATTCTCATAAATAACTAATAAAATTATAATCTTTTGATTAATCAATTAGTTAACATAGTCGCACTAACACATGACTATAATCATGTCACTCTTACGTTATAAGATAGATTAACAACTACCTTGGATATATCTTTTTTACCAAATTCTTTCAACAAGTTATCTATATAGATAACTAATACCATCAAATATAAAATATTCTAATGGAAATAATCCTCCATTATCTATTACTCAAAATATAACATGATCTTTAAAACTTTAATCAAACACAAAAATACAAAAGTGACAAGACTTTATCAACTTTAATAAAGATAATTACATCTTTTACAAAAATTATTTTTTATATAATTCATAAAACATTTGTCTAAAAATTTCTTCATTGCAACCAAACAACTTTATCATATCAATAACCTTATCATTATACATTGAATGATTGAGAGTAATAAACTGTTTAACTCATACTAATTTTCAAAACACATTATTTTATCATAGCCTTTAAATATCTTCTACTCAAGGAAAGTTATTTACTTAAATAATAATAAGCATTTCATAAGATCTTAAATTTTACATTACTCTTATCATAATTATCAATACCTTTCTTTTAACAATTTTTCCAGTTGAACAACGAAATAGTAATATTGTACAATTCAAATCCATCATGCTAAGAAACATGTATCTCCAAATTTAATCAAATCTTATGCAATCAAAATACCAATCACTTAAGAGATATATAAATTAACACCAACCGAATATTGGCAATATAATTTTAATAATAAAACTTTGTTTCCATAAAAGTGCCTTATAATGTACTTTAATGTATAGCATGATTCACTTTGACTCACAAGAATTCAAGACACAATCATACTTTATTTGCACTTTTTTTGTTGATTAAATAAGTTCATAAAATTAAATTGTAACAAGTTAATTAGTAGGAAAATTAACTCTTAGTAAATATAAATCAATACTTATCATCCTTTCTAATTGCTCCCACTACTTTAAGTCAATACATACAACAATCACCTTTGGGCAAAATCTTGCATGCACTAATATGAAAGTAGCAATTGTATATCTTAACTTTAATAGTTCAAACGTGACCCTCCCAATAGATCAACTAGTTTTTAATGACATAATAATTTAATATAACCAATGGGTATGAAACTTTATTAAACTTTAAAAACTTTATTACAAATGAATTAATAAGAATGGTCTCATAAAAGATAATCTCCTTTGGGCAGAAAATTCTCTATAAAACCAGAATAAAAAACCCTTACTAACCACTCGCACTTCTTTCAATCAATATGCACAATTACCCCTTTTCGGCAAATAATCATACATATTAATTTCAAGAAACAAACATTTCAGAATCCTTATTGAGAAATATATGAATTTAATAGATGACCTATTTTGACAGTATCACCCATGTCGATTCACATACTCTCACTTGAACACTTACTTATAAATAATAAAACATTACAGAATCCTTATTGGGAAACACGTGAATCTCAATAAATGGTCCACTTTGGTAGTACCATCCATATCAACTCATAAGTTCCCACTGAAACAATTACCCATAAATAATAAAACATTCCAGAATTCTTATTGGAAGATTAACCAATCTCCTACTGGAATAAAATTTCTTAATATCCCTGGATATTCACATTAGTTATAATCAAAAAATTTCTTAATTTCTTAATAACCAAAAAATCTTAAGTGATAGAAATCATTAGTCCTAATAAATAAACTCTGGATATTCACATTAGTTATAAAACATTATTAGGACTATCATGTATATACATATAGTTCTATAATCCCTCTCAATCATCTTTTATACTTTTTAATGATGATAAATCTTTAATATATGAATTGAGAGAATCTTAAAACTTCTAAAAACACTTTCAATACTAAATGATTCCCTCACTTTAACACTCAAAGAAAATCATGTAGGATTATTTCAGTATCTTAAATAAACTAAGATACACAAATTCTAAAATTCTTAAAACTTTATCAAATATTTTTTCTTTGAGATTTAAAAAAATTTCATGCGCTGTGACAATTAGACTATTACCAATATGCATAATAGACACATAATTATTCCTTGAAGGTAATTAACTACTAACAAAATCTATTATAAAACTAATGATTTAGCCTTAAATTATATGTCATGAGATATACTCAAACTTTAATTCCACAAAACTTCTTTATAGAATTCATATGCTAGAACCCACATATGAAAACAAATAATTTTATTTTAAATAAAATATCAATATAAGTAAAATCATACTCAGCTACCTTGCATAATTGTACCTTTGTAATATGCCTTGATACAACTTGACGAATTTTTGAAACTGTAATTCTCAACAATCTTTGGTGCACCTTTAATACATATACTCTGAAAATTTTCTTAACTTCCATGAAGTTAGTAGAAAATAATAATTATACTTTCTCCAAATGCATAATTAATTTGCATAGATAGTTTATTAGCAACTGTAAATATGTTCTTTACATTCAAATATGGACACTTTATTTCCTTATTAGAAAACACAGTAATAGGAAACCCATATACTAAACCACATATGAAGGTAAGTAATCTTTAATGAAAATTAAAGCTTCACAATTATCTACTCATTTATCTATAATCATAAATTTCTTTATTAATAGTCAAACTTAAAAACTTTGCAAATGAGTAGTACAACAAATTTCAAGAACTTTAATCCAAGGATATTACATTATATAAATACTGGATACATAAAGTCACGTACCTCCAATTGTGACTAATTACTTTAACAAAATCTTGAAATTTAATCTTCAAAAAGCATATATCATATGCATAATAATATTCACAGAATTATTTTAAACCAAAAACATGAAAAACATATCTTTTCAATAATTCATTTGCCACTAACCATATATCTTTAACCTCCATATATCTTTAACCTCCAAATATTGACACATATTTTATATGTTATACTTAATATTTATTTTAATTTAGATAAAATGAATTAATATATATTTATTATGTAAACAATTATCTTAATTTGACAAAATCAGACCACATAATAAATATTCTTTATCCACATATAATTTAAAATAAGATTATATTAATAGATGTTCTTCACATAAAATCTGATATATTATGTATAAATATCAATACACAATATCAAAAGATTTAAAACCACCCAATGGTTAATTGCTGCAAATTACCTAAGTGTCGCCACCCTTACTTTGTGCTAGATCTACACAATAACTTTTAACTGGCTATGTGTCGACACCTTCACCCATAGTGAAAGAAACAAGTTTGCGTCAGATTTTTGGATCATTGTGCAATTTCTAAGAATAGTAAAATAACAACACTGGTCCCTCAACTTTTATTTATATTTCCTTTCG